GTAAAGATGCTGCTGATGAGACTCTGTAGAAAGCAGCTGGTCTGAGTGCAGTGATCAGAGTGCAGGAGATCATGTGGGACAGCAGTTTGGAGAGGAAATGGATTCTGTTGTTCTTCAGCTGCTGACACTCACACCTGCTTCTCTCCTGCAGGGACCCAGGAGGGAGGAGGCAAGGAGAGAAGAGGCAAGGAGGGAGCTTCATCTTCATCTCTGGGTCTGATCGTTGGCATTCCAGTTTCTCTCCTCTGTGTATTAGTTGGTGTTGCAGCTTGGATCTATTTCAGAAAACCTGCCTGTTTACAGAGGTTTAGGTTGTGTTCCCGTCAGCCTCCACTAGAACAAGAACCAACAGAACCACCTAAACCAGCAGAACCAGAACCAGAACCAGATGAGATTGAAATGTCTCTGCTGTCTCCCCCCTCTGAGCCTCCAGATGCTGGTCCCAGCTCAACATCTGGGACTCAGACAGCCGCCAGCAGCCCTGAACATCCAGCTCACCCTGAATGAGACCTCCAGGTCTGAGAACATGGAGGCAGTCCAATCGAGGAGGGAGGAGCCAAGGGGAGAGGAGGCGAGGAGACAAGGAGACGAGTCCTTTGGACTACAAAGTTCAACAGAGTTTTAAGTATTTTTTGGTTAAACAACTACTTAAAACTCCTTTTTAAACAGAGTTCTTCAGTAAGAGTTCTTTAAACAGTGTTCTGACTGGTCTGATCTTTAAAGGGTTAAAATGGTTCTCGGTTCTTCAGGTGGAGCAAACAGAACCTGATCAGTGGGTCAGAACTCACTGATGGAGGCAGATGTTCAAACATCTGTCAGAGATGGTTCAGCTCCTCCTGTGAGCAGCTTCCTCTGATGAGACCATGACCAGAGCTGGATCCTGCTATAGGTCATTTATTTTAGGACTAAAGTTTGTGAAAGCACACATTTTATTTTCCTTTTTCTGGTTTAGTTTTATCTGTATTTCTGTTATAGCTCAGTCGTAGAGTGTTTGACTTAAGATCCAGAAGTTCCTGGTTCTGGTTCTGGTTCAGGGACGTCCTGGTTCTGGTTCTGGTCCTGGTTCTGGATCTGGTTCAGGGACGTCCTGGTTCT